GCAGTAACTGATTACTATTTATACTCTTACCATGATCATGCCTGTGCAGAGTGCCTCGCTTGGTTGAAAAAAGCTATTAATTTATTTACAATACTGGAAAATGCTACCACAATTTGTCCGGCGAACGTAAGACCGGGATCCTCAAAACATCCGGATTACAGTTCGCATAAACAGCGACGCCTTTCCATGAAGGCAAATGTAACGATCACGTGTAAACAGCGCGTAGTCAGGTGAACGCACTACACATTCATACGTAACTGGGATCATCCATGTTTTCCGTGAAAGCGTGTATGTCGGGACGAGATTTTACTACAAATGCATCCGCTTCGTGTACCTTGTTTCTTAGGCTACCAACATTAATAAAACTGTCCCAAGAAACTCAATGCCACCGGCCCTGGCTCGAACACTTTCTGGAGAGGCTACGGTAGTTCAGAAATGGGCCCCAGGCAGACCACCTGACAACATATAAGACGGAGGCATGGCTCACCAGTCGCCTTCCTGTTTTTCCGGCTTTTGCTGACTTCCTTTAACTTCAGTCGATCTGCCAGTGGTAGTTCCAGCTGCACACCGACATTGCTGACTTGAGTTTAAGTGCAAAGCGCATTAACGCCTAGCGTTCTTCCGGGGTTGAAGGGTTTACACGAAGACGTCTAGTTCACGGATTTGGCATAAGTACTGGGACGTTCACCAGTCTTATTAGCTTTCTGATAGCGACAGTAAGAAAGCAGATAGAAGCATCCTGGATACGCTAAGCTTGAACAAATAGTAGTCCTCTAAACGCTTTTCCTAGAAAGAGCTGCTTCAGGTTCAGCTACGATAGGTAGCTAATGCAGCGATCAGTAAAAGCGTCACCTCGACGTGGCGTATTTACTCCACAGGACTTCGACTCGACCCCCGTCTCGTTCGGCTTATTAGGTGACACTACGCCCTTCTTCGCTAAAGTACCTGGGTGTAGTAAGGGTCCGAGAGTAGTACTCCCATTCCAACGGTTTGTGCTTCTAGTCCTTTTAGGCTTTGCGTAATGCATCCGGACATTCTTAGCCCTCTTTCTCGACTGGCTTGCCGGACAACCTATTCGTGGTGCCAGCTGGGTGGTTCGGGATGTTCCCGTTCCAGCAAATGGTTAGGCGCCAGTGTTTCAGAACGTGGTGGGTTTTCGCCCGGCAAGCGTTCTCCCTATAAAAAGCCACATATGTCCGCTTAAAAGCACCGTGAATTGGGGGACGAGTCTTGCCACTAAATAAAGTCACTGCCTCTTGCTTCATTCTGGCGAAGCATTGGATTCCAGCAACTTTATGCTGTACTACTGGGAGCATTGTCCCCTGTTTGACAATGGTACAAACGAAACGCGTACGAACTGAGCACACAGTCACCGGCTCCCGAGGAGCGTGATTCTCTGAATTACCTCCGCTGCGTTACCGACAGGCTCGGGGAAACCCGGTAGTATCTCGCCCACTGACGAAACTGCGGACTTTTATGTGTTGTGTTGCGTTTTCTTTTATTGTTGCTGTACCTTCTTTTGAGTCCCCTGTTTTCTGATGCCTCTATGTCTATACGTACATATGCTATATATATATATATATATATATATATATATATATATATATATATATATATATATATATATATATATATATATATATATATATATATAGCCCTCGCTCTCGCGTTCGGCTGGAACCGGGGCTATAAAATCGGTCTCTCCTTGGACTTGGTCTTATAGGGCATCAGAGTCCTCGTTGGTTTTATTCTGGGTATTTGCAGCCCACGGAACTTTAGCCGTCATCTCAGGTGCATTCTCATCAACAGAAGTTATGATGCGCTGCGGGGCTTCCTCCACTATTAAAACGCATGTTGGGGGAGAGGACAGCCTATTGGTGGGAGACTTTAATTCCCCAGGTTTCCACTGGGATCCGCTGCATTGCGCTTCTTCTTCAGACGTTTTCGCTACAGGCTTTGTGGGTTCCGTTCTCGAGTGTAACTTATTTTTCCATGTTACTGTGCCTAGGCGTATATCTGTTTGTCAGGCACCACATCCGCGAACTTGTGCTTTCCAGGGCACAAGCATATGTCGCAAACATTACCCCCCTTCCGCTTAGTGGTACTATTCATCATTATATGTTTTCATTCCTCTGGACTTGATGCCTCATCCTTCACAACCGGAATAGTTTCCGCAGAAATTTCTGACCTGCTGTTCCGCTCCGCCTGCAAGCTGCCGCTTGCGCCATGGACTGCAACATCCCTATACCCGCGGACCCAGATGAGGAGTGGAAAGCCTGGTACTACAAGATGGGTTCGCTTTTTGAGCAGGTGGTTCTTATGTGCAAAAGGAGAAACTTTACTGCAGGCCCTTCAAGGATAAACCGAGAGTTGAGGTGTTTAATGTCAAAAAGTGGCAGAAAATGGGAGTGATCCAAGCTCACTCACGACGCGATTGACTATTCGGAATACTACTTGATCTGATATGACTGTAGTTTTGAAAAACGTCAGTAACGACAATAGTATGAACTCAGTTTGGAGGTGCAACCCAGAACGACCTTGAAGGCACTCAACTCTTAGTTGAAACGAAGCACCAAATCCGGCAGTGGCGTCCTTGCCCTGTTTTCCGCACCGTAGGGCGGTTTACTTGACGACGATGCGACGAAAGCCAGTCTACTGGCCCTGCAGTATTCACCTGTCTACTAGCTAGAGAAGCCGTTACCCCGTGACACTGCTTCATTCGACTCTCTTCGTTGCAGCATATAGAAAGGAGGGAAGCTGACGTCGCCAAGGGCCATCGTGAATTAGATCCAAACTTATTGCCGGGTCCTAAAGGGCAGCACCCGCTGTTTCTCAAGACCATGGCCGACGGTATTGCTGTTCCCGTCTCTCAGCTATTTCGTCAGTCCCAGGAAGCTTGACGACCCCCGATTGCTTGGAAATTGGGGTCCATTAAACCCATATAAAAGGGTGGGGATCGCCAAGAGCCTGTGAGCTATTGACCTATCTGCCTAACGTCCGTATTGTGCATCGTAATAAAAAATGTTCTCAAGCGCGCTTTGCTGCTTCACTTCGAGCACTTAAACATCCTCTCGTGTGCTCAGCCTGGCTTTCGGCAGGCCTGTTCATTAATCGAGATTATTGCGTACTGGTCCGAGCTCCAATTCATGGAGGACTCCTGGTCCCAGCTGTAACCTTCATAACACCGCAAGCCCCCAGACTCCTCTTCACTGGCTGTGAGGAGCTCATACTGTCGTATACAGCATTAGCTTTGCTGTTCAATGCAGCCGAAGACATATTAGTGCCGGTATTACGTGCGAGCGACATTACCATTTCAAAGAGCTTGAAACAAGATTCATAGGGCAAAACAGACGAGCTCTTACCTACCGGGCCGTCTACAGAAGCAAGTAAGGGTTAGAAAAATATACAAAACGGATTCCAATACACAAAAGTACCAGCAAGGGACTAGAGAACGAACCCGAGGATAATAACGAGGTAAGGTATGTACCCCAGTACGGGTACCACCTAATCCGGGGAAAACGGAGAACCAAAATTAGTTAGACCAAGCAAACATTGATGACAGTTAAATATTGTGCATGATACGTGTAAAATGTTCCGAACCTGTCCATTAGAATTAAAACGTCAAAAGTCGGTGTCCCGCAGGGCTCGGTATACCTCCCGCAGGGTTCAGGACGCATCACGCAGGGTTCGGCATTAGGGCCATTGTTGTTTGCGATCCATGTAAATGATTTGCCGGGGAGCTAGGGGTGTCGTCACTTAATTTTGCTGACGACCTTAAGCTCTAGAGTATGATGGAAATCTCGGGGTCCCAAGGCAGTTCAGTTTGCCTTGGGTAGGCTCTGGGAATTGCCTAAATTTTGGTAGATGCCCAACCATAGAGACAAGAGCTCGGTTCGCTGAATCGGAACTGCTAATACTCCCACCCGAAACGTTGTCAGCCGTGATGAACACCCTGTTGTCATACAGCAGGTTGATTTAGGGGTCCTACACTCATCAGCACATCATTCTGGGGACTATTGGAAGCAGGCTACTTGTCTGGGGTTCCTATTATATGGTCCAACCGCCACTCTTTAGGATCCTAACGGCCCATTTGTGTGTGAAGCTATGCTCGTCATCCGTCCGACCCCACGTGGAGTATAGTATCCAGGCTTGTCCACAATGTCTTCACCCAGACAAAATGGCCTTGAAGAGGGTATTACGAGTGGGCACTCGGCTAGTGCAGGGTCTAAGGGCACAGATGTAAACATAGCTCTTCAGTTTGGGGATGCAGTCAATGCCTTTCCGAAGGACAAGAGAGGAACTGATTAGCACTTATCGTATTTTGACGGGTAAGCTCGGCCCGCACTCGTCAGGGTTATTTAGTTCCGCTACGTAAAATAATCTCCGCGGTCACCCACTGAAACTGCAGAAAGCACGGACTGGTAGGATTAGGAAGGAAACTCGCCTGTCTCGCCGAGTTGTAGGTCGCTGGAATTCGCTTTCAGATCAGGTGGTTAGGGAATCTACGATTAGGGTTTTGCGCACCAGCTCGATGCTCTTGGACGGCAACACCAAACATTTCCTTTTCCCAACTGACTCACCTTCACATTCCAGTTCCTTATTTAATGACTCATAATGCTTGATTTTCTGCTTATTTAGCTTTTTCTACCTTCTCAAGTTGACTTCCGAGTTCACTTTTTCTCTTTCCTTATTCACGTAAATGGCCCAGAAGGGTCTGCTAATGCAGTAAACGTGGGCATTAAATGATTGAACAGGGTGTGATGCGCTCTTTGTATAAAGTTAACCAGTAATTGAATTCTTCCAACTCCTGGTGCAACGACCCGCTGAAAAAGGAACACTCACGAAGTATCCCTATCGTTTCATTTTCGTATGAGCCTAAACTTAAACTCAAGATTTAAACACACCGCCATGTTAGATCTAACTGTAATTAATAATACCTATTGCAATAAAATGTTTGCCTGCAACTATTTAACAACAAATACATTAACACGAATCTGCAGCTCATTGTTGGTTGAAATGAATGTTATTAGTTTGTTTTAAACAGTTTGTGGTAGCCATAACTGACGTTCGCTCTGACAATGGCCCGTCAAACCTACAAGATATATGTTGGTAACCTGCCTCTAGGTGTGAAAACGCGTGATATTGAAAACCTGTTTTGTAAGTATGGTCCAATCGCCGAAATTGACCTTAAATCGCGACGTGGACCTCCTTTCGCGTTCATCGAATTTGAGGACGAACTGTAAGTTGCCCCCATCTTATGCGTGCCTTCCTAGAGACGCGTCAGATGCAGTCAGGGGACGTGACGGTTACAACTTCGATGGCTATGCTCTGCGTGTTGAATTTCCTCGCGGAAATACAGGAAATTACAATAGGGACGGTAGTGGTTATAACTCGTCAAGGCGCGGTTTCGGCCGGGGCGGTGGGGGCAGCGGCCCATCCCGACGTTCCGACTTTCGGGTGATTGTGACGGGTCTACCACCCACCGGTAGCTGGCAGGATCTGAAGGACCATATGCGCGAGGCAGGCGATGTCGGATATGCGGACGTCTTCCGCGATGGCACTGGAGTGGTGGAGTTTCTAAGGTACGAAGACATGAAGTACGCCATCAAGAAGTTGGATGACTCAAAATTTCGATCCCACGAGGTAAGCAGTTTTCGTCATAGCTCTACTTCTAGGGCGAATCATCTTACATTCGCGTACGCGAAGAACGTTCCGGAGGCTCTCGGTCAAGATCACGCTCGCGCTCCTATTGTTCACCTCGTCGACCACGTTCTTATGACTCAGGCTCACGATCTGTTAGCCCAAGGCGCTGATAATTTCCGTTGCAAGCGGTACTACTACTATGCATGCATGTCATTTTATGATCACGTTAATCTGTTTCGAGTAAAACATACTGAAAGTCCTTTTTTACTTTGAAGGTCTGATTGGATCAAAGGATGGAGGACTTACCGGATAGGATCGCTGTATAGATTGGGACCCAAGGCTGGATTTGTGCAGCCAAATGGAGAGGACAGGATCATCAAAATCCTGCTTACTTGGAGGATAATTTGTCCGCTATCGACTTGCGTGGCGGGTGTCCATTTATTGGATTATGAATCTGTCGTCGGAAGCTGAATGCAGGTTGTACGGAGGAGGAGCCGGACCTCATACATAAGCCTAAGTTCCAACCAAGTAGGATATTCTCGGATAAGATCGCAATGATTTCCAGCCTAACTAATCGCCGAATTTGGGCGGACATCGGATGGATGTACAGGGCGCCTCCCATCAAGTACGCAGGAAACGGTTTGAACATCCAATCCCTTCGTAACCAACCGACTTCGGGACATGATCCTCGTTGTGGACATGAAATGGAGTCTGGGATCTTCCGCTCGGGAGGTAGCCATGGAATGGACAACGAAAGTAACGATACGAATTGCACCTTTTAACCTAGACAGGGCGTAGTCTAATCCAACATTACATTCAGCTGTCCTACTTTTGGTACTTTTCACTAGGAATGGGATGCTATGGCTACTCTCGATCGCAATGCATTCGGTCGTCACATATTTGATTTTGTCCCCACACCCCTGTCATCAGGGCTTAACACATCTCTGGGATTACATCTCACTTGGCATAGAAACCGCCAGTTGCTTACGAGCGCCTGATCTGAACTGCTCAATCATGGTATCGGATAACTACTCATGCGAATACATTCTAGCTTATATTGTATAGTTGTTTCGAGAAATATTTACTCTTTCATTGCTGTATATCCGTTTAACTACTTGAAGCGCATCTGCTTGTTCTAGTACGTTGGACTAGTTGTAAACTGCGTTCGAGCCTATGCCTTAGTTTTGTGTTCACATTTTTACTTACGCAACCCTAACGTTCCCCCCACCATTTCAGTCAGACACGAGTGGTTACGGCCCCTTTTTTCGTTTAGTTTCCGTCTGAGCACCGCGGGACATGTATACGCTTGTCCACTCTGATTCATGCTCGAGATTGCCTGCTCGCGATTACGCATAGTCCTGAGTAGGAGTTTAAGAATGTTCCCACTACCTTACAGCCAGCGATTGAATTGGGTCATGCACATCTACCTGAGTCTGCAATTCAAATTTTATTTTGAAAAGGGGCAGCAACGGTGGTTAAGTCTAATAGATGTTCCAGGATGTTCATTGGTTGGTAAAGAGCAGAAGGAATTTCCTTTGTCAGCTCCGTCACTTTCCTAAAGTTGCGGATTGCCTTGATCATTGCGGAACAAAGTTTTGCAGGAGACCGCTATGGTTGTATTGTGGGCAGCAGAATCCCTGCGCAATCAGAGTGGGAACCCAACAGTCGCTTAAAGCTTTCCTCTGTCTCCGCATTGACGGCAATCTCCGGTAAGCTGTTCAAGTCATTCACTACCCGGGTGGAAATGGCCAGATCGGTTCGCAGGCGTTATCGCCGCGGTTTGAAAAGTTTCCACGGTTGGCCTCGAGTTGCACCAAACGAATATCTTCAGCGAATTGATTCGAGTGAGTCAGATCGAAACGCGCGTGTCACGATAGTCAACCGAGCACTACCCACTTATCCTTTACTACTAGTTCCGACTATGCCGGTCACATGAAGTAGAACGCAATATAAAGCGGACATTAGGAGAGAAAAGTACCCAAATATGGCTGAAGGAAAAGCACTAGAGAGCAGAACCTAGGCACTAGAAATCGGGAGAATGTTAGCTAAAAGCTCTGCAAGCTTGTGTTGAACGAAATCGTATACCAAGTGACTCAAGTCGAAATATAAACTTTTACACTGAACGTCTGTGCACGCAGAGCGTTCCAGTCGCCGATTATTCTGCGTGTTAACCAGGTACAAGCTGTCACCGGATCTGTACAAGTTATGTGAAGCTTCATTGCGTGACAACGTCGGTTTGGCATCCTTGTTGGCACGTAAATATGCTACAACTCTGTTTGACCTGACAATATTCGCTATGTGCGGGTCAGGTCTCTCCGACGGTATCGGTAGTGGAAAATATAACGCACAAACAAAGAAACCGCTCTAGGTATGACAAACGTCTTCACCCATGAACCATTTTAGTACCGATTTAGAGACTCGTTCTACTACCACCTTGACCCGTGTCACACATAGAGAACCTGCTTGCATACAATATTCGAGATGACACCTAGTGAAAGCAGAACACCACCGTGCAATTATCACACCTGTTAGGTTTCTGTGTGCCCTGCGAACCATCAGATAATCTGAAACATTAAAGCGGCTATTGTTCACTGGACTTACATTCTGACGAAATCGCGAAGCCCAAGAACATCTGCTCGGGAACTTGTAGTGTTATTTCCCATTTGAAATGTGTCTCATTTTTGGCCTTCCAGCTCTAATGCGCAAAACTGAGCGGTTTTTTGGTGGCAGACCATTTCCGGAGCTTTCCCAGTACACGCTGTAGCAGATATTAGCAGTTCACGTCAACTGCAAACAAGAACTGGTACCCCCGAATTCTCAGGTAAGTCGTGTATGTACAAGGTAAACAGCAATGGGCTGAGGACCGACTCCTGTGGTACACCGCCGAGTACTAATTGTCAGAAAGATAGGGTCAACATTGGAATGTTGAGAGCAGGTGATTCCTTAGCTCCATTGGTTCCTCAAAGTAGGTGCTTGCTGTCGACAAGCGTTACTTCTTCGTAGATCATCACTTTTGAAGTAAGGGCAGCAGGATCCTGCCTTGTGCGTTAGATGTGTGTATAGCAATAGTTTGGAACTTTTCTCTGCGAATCTAGGATTTGTATGGGCAGACTGTATCAGTCATTTACTACTCTATGATATAGGGCAGCATACGGGCGAGCGCGAACTGTCCTTGCCTTAATTTCTATTCGTGTCTAGTTGTCCACACCTGGATGGAAGAACTGCTGCAGCTCACCTAACTGAGTCCATTGCGTGATGTAGTCAGCTCACTCATCTTCATTGAGTGGTAGAGAGCAGAAGGGAGGTCCCGTGTCAGCTCCTTCGCTTCCTGATCTTCCAAGGAAAACAGTTCATCCCTTTAGTCGGGCAGGGTACGGGACTTCGCGTAGCCCGAGCACAAATTTCGAGACACGGTGCATTTTTTCTGTTTTGTTACTTTCATGCTTCGCTAATGGGGCTATGGCCGGAAGTTCGAATTCAAGGATGGGACGGATGTGAGAGGTGAAGAGAAATCTAAATATCTGCGGCGTCATTTTAGGGAGTGCTATCCTTATGACGTCCCACGTCTTGTTCGCCGCAGCAGTTTTCCTAAATGTGTCATGGGTAGTTTTGAGATCAGAGGATACTATTGTCACCAAGTCCTTTTCCTGTGTGGCAATCTTGAGTAGGTGCCCGCCAAACTGATAGATGCCGTGGTTCAGCAGTGCCTATGGAAAGGACAGAGCACTTATCTTTGTTGACCGGCACACCCCACTTGATAGATCAAGAGTGTGATCGATCAAGCGTTTCCCGATCTTACAAGCATTGCATACGTAGTACCTGTGGCATAGCTCAGGATGTAGTAGCAATCCTGTTGAAGATGTCTAGCAAACGTTGGAAACTCGCTTCTGACTGCGCATTCACAATCGGGTCCGGCAGTCGATTCCGGTAGAGAGAACAGCATCTGGGCGGACTTTGAACCTGCTCGTTTTAAACAGCTTCCAGATGTGACCTCAAGTCCAGCTGCCGAGTCTTTAGCTGAAAAGCTGTCTCAGCTTGTTCCCCGATTCTCTTCATAGGATCCGCCTAGTATAGCTTGGGTGTCCGCGACCTCGACGAAAGCTTAAAGGGAGAAAGATTCATCTTCTGTAGTCTTGCGGGGTAGGGGAGATTGCGTAGCCCGAGGACAAACTTTGAGGCTCGTCGCTGCATTTTTTCGCTCTTATTATTTTCATGATTTGATAGATTGGCTATGGCCAGGAGTCCGATTTTAGGGGTGGTCGCATGTGGGAGAGCATGATCTCCTTATGACGCCCCACATCCTGTTCGCAGTGTCAGTCCTTATTGTGTCGGATAGTGTTATTATCGGTGATAGGTACCCACCAATATGATAGGTGCACAGTGGTTCACCAGCACCGATGCAAAGGACAGCACTTAATTTTTTGACCTGCAAACCCCACTTGATAGATCAGGCGTGTAGATCAAGCGTTTCCTGTAATCGGTCGGCGTCTTCGAGGCTGCACACTTCTGTTCATAGATTGAGGTCGTCTGCATAGATCAGACAGTTCGTTTGTAGCATACTTGGTCAGCCATTGATATAGATCTTGAACAATTCCGTTCCTAGAACGGCGCCCTGTGGTACTCCACTGAACATAGGCACTGGAAATGAAAGGGTATCGTTTACCTTGACTCGCATGTTCCAGCCTTGCAAGAAGTCACTGATCCATAGTAGAACCTTCCCTGTTATGCACGTGCATCTACATCGATATGTACCAGAAGTACTGTATGTGCAAGTACATGGCTGTTTGCCAGTGTATACTGAGGAGAATTGTATAGCCGAGAAGTCATCTTTGGCAACATCATCAAAACGGATTATAACTGGCTCATTCGTAGACAACGTAGGAATTCCGCAGCCGGCCTTTGAAGATCTGCTCAAGTATGAGAATAGTTTCTTTGGCCTAGAAAGAGATTGTTCGGCCAAGCTATGCTCATATCGTTGCCTCTTCGCGTTTCTGATGGGCGCAGTAGTTCCTGACGGTCTTGTATTTAGTCTGAGTCTAAGCGAGAAAAGTTTGAATTTGTCCCATAATTTTCGTCGCTGTTTCATCTTGGCCCTGAATTCTCGGTCGATTCTGGAGGACCCTTGGAGACAGACATGTGGCTGTGGAATGGGACGACCTCAATGATTAGCTTCGACTTGTAGAATAGATCGTTCCAAGCAGCATCGGATTCCAAGTGTAGTGAATCCTTCCAGTCCAGCGTAATCGCTGCTGCTCTTGCA